GATTTGTGGCATAAGAGGCTTGGCCACATGAGTCAAAAGGGCATGCATATCCTTTCGAGGAAAGATTATCTCCCCGACATTTCAGGTATGCCTTTAAACTCTTGTGTTGATTGTTTGGCTGGAAAACAACATAGAGTTGCATTTCATACTCGTCCCCCACATAGAAGAAAGCATGCCTTAGATCTTGTTCATACTGATGTTTGCTCTATGGATGCTAGATCACACCGTGGTGCACAATATTTTGTGACTTTTATTGATGATTTTTCTAGAAAAGTGTGGGCTTTTGTTTTGAAACATAAAGATCAGGTACTTGAAGCTTAAGTGTGTCAGATCAGACAATGGTGGTGAGTACAGGGGTCCATTTGAGTACTATTGCAAAAGCCAGGGCATTAAGCTTGAGAAGATAGTTCTGAAGACACCTCAGTTTAATGGAGTTGCAGAAAGAATGAACAGAACAATTGAAGAGAGAATCAGGTGTATGCTATCTCATGCTAAGCTGCCAAAGTCCTTTTGGGCGGAGGCAATGTTCACTGCAGTGTACCTGATTAACCTTTCCCCTTCAGTTCCTCTTGAAGGTGATGTTCCTCAGAGAGTTTGGTCAGGGAAAGAGGTCTCCTATAAGCATTTGAGAGTCTTTGGTTGCAGAGCATTTGTTCATATTCCTAGAGATGAGAGATCCAAGCTTGATAAGAAGACCAAAGAGTGCATATTTTTGGGGTATTCAGAGGATGAGTTTGGGTACAGACTATGGGATCCACGTGATAGGAAAGTGATCAGAAGCAGAGATGTGGTTTTCTATGAAGATCAGACTATTGAAGATTGTGAGAAGAAGCAGGCAAATCCTTCTCCATGCATCACAGTCGATCCAGCTCCATCTCTTCCTCCTATTGTAGTCCCTCAAGATCATGGGGGAGATATGCATGATCATACAGTTGAGTCCCCTGCAGATGACCATCATGATGATGATAATCATGATGATGGTAGTGATGGTGTTCCAGAGTCACAACCACACTCACACTCAGAGCCACCTCCAGCACCTCAGTTGAGAAGATCCACCAGAGTCAGAAAACCTTCCACGAGACTTTCGGAGGATGATTTTGTGTTAGTTACAGATGGAGGAGAGCCAGAGACATATGATGAGGCTATGTCACATGTGCACCGCGAGAAGTGGTACGATGCCATGCAAGATGAGATGACGTCCTTGCATGAGAACCACACATATGAGCTTGTAGAGTTGCCTAAAGGCCAGAGAGCACTCAAGAACAAGTGGGTATACAGATTGAAGAGTGATGAGAGTAGCTCACAACCAAGGTACAAGGCAAGATTGGTTGTGAAGGGTTTCAGTCAGAAGAAGGGCATAGATTTTGAAGAGATATTTTCTCCCGTTGTGAAGATGACCTCTATTCGAGTTATACTTGGCTTAGCTGCTAGCATGGACTTGGAGATTGAGCAACTTGATGTGAAGACATCATTTCTTCACGGTGACCTTGATAAGGAAATCTACATGGAACAACCTGAGGGCTTTCAGGTTAAGGGAAAAGAGAACTTAGTTTGCCGTTTGAAGAAAAGTTTGTACGGTTTGAAGCAAGCACCTCGGCAGTGGTATAAGAAGTTTGAGTCCTTTATGGTTGATCATGGCTTCCACAAAACACACGCTGATCATTGTGTCTTTGTGAAGAATTACTCCGAAGGTGACTTTCTTATTCTTCTTTTATATGTAGATGATATGTTGATTGTTGGCCAGGACACCAAGAAGATTGCTAGCTTGAAGAAGTCATTGAGTAAGTCCTTTGCAATGAAGGACTTAGGCCCTGCCAAAGAGATTTTAGCCATGAGGATCACGCGGGATAGAAAGAACAAGAAACTTTGGTTATCCCAAGAGAGATACATTGAGAAGGTGCTTGGTAGATTCAACATGAGCAATGCTAAACCCGTGAGCTCTCCACTTGCAGGTCATATGAAGTTGAGTGTGGACCATTGCCCTACAAGTGAGAAAGAAAAGCAAGAGATGAACAAGGTGCCTTATGCTTCAGCCGTGGGTAGTTTGATGTATGCCATGGTAAGTACGAGACCAGATATTGCTCATTCAGTTGGGGTTGTTAGCCGCTACATGTCGAATCCGGGTAAAGAGCACTGGGCAGCCGTGAAATGGATTCTCAGATATCTTAGAGGTACCTCCAAAATTTGTTTATGCTTTGGTATTGGACAACCTGTGTTAGATGGGTACACAGATGCAGATATGTCTGGAGATGTTGATACTGCAAAGTCTACCTCGGGATACTTGATGACATTTGCTGGAGCTGCAGTTTCATGGCAATCAAGATTGCAGAAGTGTGTTGCTTTGTCCACTACTGAGGCAGAGTATATAGCAGCTGTACTCCGTCCGTTCCTCAACAATACCTACTCCTATTTTCTTGAGGAGCTTGGTTTGGAACAAGAAAATTATCTTCTTCATTGTGATTCTCAAAGTGCCATCCACCTTGCCAAGAATGCCGCCTTTCATTCTCGAACCAAACACATTAAGAGAAGGTATCATTGGATTCGAGAAGCCGTGGAGGACAAGTCTTTTGAGCTTTTGAAGATTCATACAAGTCAAAACTGCTCCGATATGTTGACCAAGACGTTGCCGAAGGAGAAGCTCGTGTTCTGCCGTGAGAAGGCTGGTTTGTTTGCTCACTCCATGTAGGAGTGAGGGGGAGATTTGTTGGGAAATATCCCTCCTACATGGAGGAAGTGTCCAATTTTAATTGGACAATACTTTACATATATCTTTTGTATTTGGGCTTCTTTTATGTGTAAAGCTTTAGCCCATTTGTTTTGGTGGCCCATTTATCTCCTTTATGTGGCTAGTAACTAAAAGGAAGATAAGAAAAAAAAAAAGAAGAGGTGAAGGAGGCAGTAGCTATACGCAGGAAAGAGGGAGAAAAACAGATTTCTCGCCACACAGTCCAGCAGCCACTTTTCACCTCCGGATCGAAGGCCAAACGAAGTCTGATCGTGCTCAAATTTTAGTATGTTGTTCCTCACACACTCCTCTTCATATCCAACGGTCAGTTTCTCGTTTTGATGCCCGAAAGGCTGTTTTCTGGCTGCGTTTTCAGACCTGCGTTTTTTGGGAGTTTTTACTCCATTTTTGGTGAATTATTGATTGTTGTTGTGCCAAGGTTGTTCCTTGATGATTGTGTGTGCCTCTAGTGTTTACTAGAGAGGAGAACTTATTGTACCCACTTGTTTCTTGGTGATTAGTGGAAGTTTGGGAGCCGTTGTTGAGCGGCCGTGGTTTTCTCCCCGATTTGGGGTTTCCACGTAAATCGTGTGTCATCTACTTTATTATCGCTGCCATTTATTTGTGTGCGTGCTGCTGATTTTTCAGAGTTCATTGTGCTTGTTATTCATCTCATTAATTTGGGGAAAAGATTTTATTCGCTTCCGTTGTGTTTTGTTCCGTGCTTCCCCAACACTATCTTACTTTTTCGACATATTTAATTTTTTTATTTGTAATATTTACAATCGTTCATAAAAATTACTTAAATAAAAAAAATACATAAAAATCATAACCCGTTAGGTCGATTTGAACCTGATAACATTGAATCATGTTTGAACATGTAACTCTCAATTCGCACCCGAAATAATCTGAATCCAAGGTGATGAATCCAACCCCGATCCAAGAGACCCGTTTTGCCAACTCTACAAAGAAGTCTAGAGTCAAACTTAGAATACCCCAGACATGATTCATATCAATAATTTACTTGTTTAAAATATATTAAACGATATGCAACCTTTTGGAGGAGTAATTGAATGAGAAGGGACGGACGGTGTCCCACTGTTTGTATGAGTATGTCTACATAGCTTTTTATCCCCAGATCAACTCACTCATCTTCGTCGACATCATCTTCTAGAGAGAGAGAGAGCAAATTTATGGGTAGAAAGAGAAATAAATAAAAAGGGGTTGGGTGGGTGGGTGGGTGGTTTCGTGAAGGAGGAGGAGCTGTGATATCTCCTTTTCGCGTTGAATTATCTTTTCGCTTTACTCTGATTCACATATAGTGTGATATACATACGAAAAGTCGAAACACGGATCGTCCTCTCCAACTTTCTGTTTAGAAAGACAAAAATTGAATAGTTTTCTTTTGGCGAGATTTGCTTCTCTGCCTTTTGTGTGTCTGTGTGCTTGTTTGATAAATTTGGTGTTTGGGATTTCAATCTCGCGGTGAGATGCGGTCTGGGTTGAGTACGATTTTGCAGACCTTAACCCCTGAGGCGGCCACCGTGCTGAACCATTCGATTGGGGAGGCGACCAGGCGGAACCACGGCCAGACCACTCCTCTGCACGTGGCGGCGACGCTTCTTGCGTCCCCCACTGGGTTTCTCCGGCAGGCCTGCATCCGTTCCCACCCCAATTCCTCTCATCCGCTACAGTGCCGTGCACTCGAGCTCTGCTTCAGCGTCGCCCTCGAGAGGCTCCCAGCTGCCCAGAACATGCCCCCTGGGATGGAACCCCCCATATCAAACGCCTTGAATGCAGCTCTGAAACGGGCCCAGGCGAATCAGAGGCGGGGATGTCCGGAGCAGCAGCAGCAGCCACTCCTGGCCGTGAAAGTTGAACTGGAGCAACTGATAATATCGATTCTCGATGACCCGGGCGTCAGCCGAGTGATGAGGGAGGCGAGCTTCTCCAGCCCTGCAGTGAAGGCCACAATTGAGCAAACGCTGAATTCGAGCTCAAATCACACCAATCACCTTGGTGCCCCTTTGAGTTTGGGTGGAATCGGCCCTCGTATGCTCTTGAATCCTGCCTCAGTGTTGACTGCATCTGCGGCGGCGCCCCCAAATGTTTCCCTCTCCAATCTGAACATGTATCTGAATCCGCGGCTGCAGCAGGGAGGATCTGGCCAGTTGGGGAATCCCAGGAATGATGAACTGAGGAAGGTGCTTGAAGTTCTGATGCGGAGCAAGAAAAGGAACCCAATTTTAGTTGGTGAGGGAGAGCCAGAGGCCGTGGTGAAGGAATTATTCAAGAGGATCGAGCAAAGGGATCTAGGCACTGCAGGGGAAGGTCCCCTAAAGAATCTCCAAGTGATTCCAATTGACAGGGATTTATTATCCAACACGAACGAGATTCCTACGAAGATCACTGAAATGGGATGCCGAATTCGGAATATGATTGGGAATGGTGGGGTGATTCTTGATCTGGGCGATTTGAAGTGGATGGTTGAACCGTCCGCCCAGCAGCAACCGCTGGTATCAGATGCCAGTCGCACGGCCGTGGTGGAGATTGGGAAGCTGCTGGCCAATTTTGGGGAAACTTCTGGTGGGGGCCATGGTAGGGTGTGGGTCATAGGCACAGCTACTTGTGAGACTTATTTGAGGTGTCAGGTTCATCATTCTACCTTGGAAAACGACTGGGATCTGCAGGCAGTTCCTATGGCTTCAAAGTCAGCTAATCCAGCCTTTTCTTCATGGTATGAACACCCATTTCATACTATTTTTGACTAATGTTTCTTTGGACGCATTGATTAATCAATATAACCAACTTGTTCTTCAATCTTGCAAAAGTTATCCTGGAATTGACTTATTTATGGAAATGTTTTAAGTGTCTGAAGTCTGAACTGACAATATGCGAACAAATTGCATATTTAGATGTTCACAAATTCAGTCTTCAGAAAATCCATCCAAGTCCCAATATCTGGATTCACTGTAATTGACAGTTTTCCTGATTCTGATATCTTTCTTTGCCTTTCTTGAGCAAATACTTGTATATGCAATTTTTACTAGTGATAGCATCTTAAGTGGCTATTTTACGAGATTATAATTCCTATGTAGTTGCTTATCTACCTTTTTTTTTAAAAAAAAAATCTTCAATCTGAACTGAGTTTTATTGTTCTTCAATTTCTTTAGTCTTGGAAAGGAAAGATTGTTGAGCAACCCGTGTGAATCCCTAAATCCATTAAGATCATTGCCTGTTGCTGGGACACCCCCTCTACTCAGAGCCCTATCCGAGAACGTCAATGTTGATCGGAGGACACCGTCCTGCCCTCAGTGTATGGAGAAGTACAACCAAGACCTGGCAAAACTGGTATCCGAGTTTGAGAATTCGCCTTCTGGTGCGATTACGAATTCAGCCCAGCAAGCCTTGCCCCAGTGGATGCAAGACGCAAAACTAATTAATGGTGATAAAGGAACGTCTCTGTCGAAGGTATATGTTTTACTCTTTTTTTTTGTGAAATCTGCATTTCTTCTACACCGACGGAATACTAACGATTACATTGAACGACAGATTAAGGGCCAAGAACTTTTGAAGCTAAAGACTCGAGCCTTGCAGAAAAAGTGGAGTGAAAAGTGTTTGCAACTTCATCCAAATTTCCACCACAGTAATGTCAGTTCTGAGAAGAAGACAGTCTCTCCTGCTTTGGGTATGCCAGGCTTAGAGAACTTAAACTTATTTCTGCGCCAACCTTTGCAACCTAAACTACAAACATTAAAAAACCCGGGGGAGAATTTCCATCCTAAACTGCAAACCACTAAAGTCCTTGGGAAGACTTTGCAACTGAACACGCATCAAATATCTAGCAGAGGACCAGAGCTTGCAGATACCCCTCTGGAAAGCCCTGTGAGAACCGAATTGGTTCTTGGGCAAAAAACGACAGAAATCACATCCCGGAAATCTCAAGAAGACAATGTTAAAGACTTCCTAGGCTGCATCTCTTCCGTGCCGCATAAAAAGCTTGACAAATTTGCCAGTGTGTTGGATGCCGACACGTACAAAAAGCTCCTCAGGGGTCTCATAGCGAAGGCGTGGTGGCAGCAGGATGCGGCATCTGCCGTGGCTTCTGCTGTTACAAGATGTAGATTGGGCAATGGAAGACAGCGTTTCGGTGCATCAAAGGGTGATATATGGTTATTATTTACAGGCCCTGATAGGGTTGGCAAGAGGAAAATGGCATCAGTTCTTGCCCAACAAGTATGTGGGGCTGCTCCAATTTTGATATCTCTTGGCTCAATCCGCGACGGTGAAGAAACAGAAAAGGATTACCGTGGTAAAACAGCTATTGACCGCATTGCAGAAGCGGTTAGAAAGAACCCGTTTTCTGTCATTATGCTGGAGGATGTCGATGAGGCTAATATGGTTGTGCAGGGGAATATAAAGCGTGCGATGGAAAGAGGCAGGCTTGCCGATTCTCATGGACGCGAAATTAGTCTCGGCAACATTGTGTTCATTCTTGCAGGAAACTGGTCTTCAGTAAACCCTGAAAATCACAGAAATGAGAACTTGATGGATAGTAATAAGCTCTCTTCTCTCTGTAGTGGCAATTGGCAGTTGAGGCTAACAATAGGTGAGAAGAGCACGAAGCGCAGGTTGGTTGATGATGATGAAGAGGACAGGCGAACAAAACTGAGAAGAGAACTGAGCTCAGGCCTCACCTTTGACCTCAACGAAGCAGCAGCAGCAGAAGGTGATGACGGAACGGATGGGTCCCACAATTCGAGCGATCTCACTATTGACCACGAACAAGAAGAAGAAGAAGAGCCCGACCATGAAAACATGCAGTTCTCAATCACATCTGTTCCTCAGGAGTTTGTGAATGCCGCAGACGATTCAATTGCTTTCAGGCCAATCGACTTTGCCTTTGTTCGCCGCGAGATCAGGAAGACAATCTCCAACAAGTTCTCCATCCATGTTGAAGACGACAAGGTCGCCTTAAGAGTGGAAGATGATGTGGTGGACAGGATTGCTGCTGGACTGTGGCGTGGACAAACCAGCCTGGAGGAGTGGGTCCAGAACGTCTTGGCTCCCAGCTTTGGCAAGCTCGAGTCTCTCTTCTCTTCTCCCCATGAGAACAGCAACACCATTGTACGGCTTCAACTCGAACCAGACACAGATTTGAGTAGCGGCAAGAATGGAGGAGATTGGCTACCCAGCAAAGTCACGGTAATTTCGAGTTGACTGTAAACCAAACGCTGGGACATAGGACAATTCTTGTTTCAGCTTATCATATCTTTTGAGAGCGCAGATGTAAATATAGTAAACTTCTGGGGAGGTTAGGGGGGAAATTAAAGAGAAACGTAATAGGAAAACACGTACGGTGTTAGAGAAAGTGGATGTTGATAGATCAACAACATTATCTTGGACGGCTCCCACTTTTTTTCTTCTTCTTCTTTTCATTTCCCTACGTCATTTACATTTATTTTATTCCTTTTTCATTTTCCAGTTAATACAGTTGTATGGGAACATTTCACTCGTAAAAATGGAAATTCTATTTGCCGATGATCAATAAAGAAGATGGCATTTTTTTGATACTCTCTTACAAGTTACACTGTTGGCCCTGTATTGGCCAAAAAAAGAACATATTGATGGGCATAATGGATTGTGTTAAATGTTGATAATGTAATAGTAGGTCTAATATGCGCTTAGGTCTAGTATACGCTTAGGTAATTCTATTTTCTCTATAAGAGTATGTTTGGTTGGAGGTAGGAGAAGGTAGATGGAGGTAGATTTAATATTCTACCTTGTTTGGTTATAAAAATTGAGATAGGTAAAGGAAGGTAGTGAGAGGTAAAGGGAGGTAGGGTAACCTCTGAACAGTGTATTTCTGATGACCGCCAAATTGGCGAAACATTTCGGTAAGAAATTATTTTCCGCTGCTACCCTTTCTGTCGTTGTTGTTCGCAGAGCACAAAACCAATCGTCATCTTGAAGCATGTAATTTCCAATCTTCCCCTTCCCCTCTGTTTTCCATCGTTACTTCAATTAGCCGATAAAGGTATTATTTCCGTGGATCCAGCCTGGGACAAATGGCTAATCTGTTTTGAATCTGTTTTTTTTTCAGTTTTTAATTGTGTAAACTTGTTAGAAGGCAGGAGCATATACATACTTCATAAATATTTGGTATTAACAAAATAAATTTGGTAATTGCACCAGTGTTTATCACATAGGGTTGGGATTGAATTTGTTGTTGCGGCACCCAATTTCTACTCTGTTTTTTTCTGTGATTTTGTACTCTACTCCAATTTTTTCCCTGTTTTGGGATTGGGTTTGTTGTTGCGGCACCCCTCTGCTCCCATTTTTTTTCTGTTCTTTTTTTATGGTTTTTTTAATATAATGTGAAAGATAATTTCAAATAAATACATCTAAACAAATAAAGAAAAACAACCACAAGGATATTTTAGTAATTTTATTTTTTTCCTACCTCACGTTACCTCATAAACATCCAAACACATTTTTTTAATTCATTACCTTACTTTACCTACCATCAATTACCTACCTTCAATTACCTACCGTTACCTACCTAATAAAACTTTTACCTACCTCCAACCAAACATACCCTAAAAGGTAATAACATACTGTCATACTGTTAGTGAAATTAATAAAAAAAGTTAGAGTAATGCTAGAGTCACAAAAGAAACATTTACAAAATTCAAAAACTTGCCAAATATGTTAAGTAATGAATTCAAATAATGGTCTCAAATAATTAAAAAATAAAAACTAAAATACACAAATGGTAAATTTGTATATTTTGTGAGTGTTTTATTTGTGATTCTAGCATTACTCAAAAATTTATTACATCTATAAAAGGTAATAGTACACCATATAATTTGACATTAAGGTAATAATGTACAAAAAATTTCCATAATTAAATTCTCATATTTTTCCATAATAATGTACATCAAACGCACGTACCATTTCAATGATATTTCAATTCTTACCATTTCAACACATCCTTTCATTGGGAAAAGCTAGGGAAAAAATTCTCCTGCTTTTAAGTATAGTATAGTTATAGATAATCTACAAAACTTTTCCATAATTAAATTCCCATATTTTTTTCATAAATTAGTACATCAAATGCTCTTACCATTTCAATGATATTTCAATTTTTATCATTTCAATACATCATTTGGGCGGGAAAAGCTGGGAAAAAACTCCCCTACTTTTAAGTATAGTGTAGATACCCCGCTTAAGTTCCTTATTCCCAGATGACCAATAAGCATTCATAGCCTTTTCAATATCAGTGTAAAGTCTTTTGGAGAGTAAAAAAACCATCATAACATAGCTCAGTATTGCTTGAATAACATTTTTCAGGAAAACTTCCCGATCTGCTTTGGATTAAAGTCTCTTATTTCACCCTTTGATACAAGTCATAACTTTATCATTCAGGAAGTCAAGAATATCATTCTTGTTCCTCTCAATGAGAGAAGGCAAACCCTAATATCTCCCTAAAGTGCTCCCTTGTTGAACTCCCAACATACCAATAATGTAATCCATATAACTTATCCTGGTATTAATACCGAAGCATAACCCAGGGTTGTCATAGTTAATACGTTTCCCAGTAGATACCGCATAGCTCGCAAGGACATCTTGGATAGTTGCAACTTCTCCTTCAAGAGCTTTGAAAAACTGAAAATACTCATCAGCAAACTAAAGGTGTGAGTCGGTTGGGGCACCCTTAGCAATGATCACACCATGGAGATTACCCCATTATATTTTCCTATTGGTCATCGCACTCAGACCTTCATTGATGCGTAAGAATAAATAAGGCAAGAGTGGGTCTCCTTCCCTAATGATATGCCTCTGCGTGGAATGATAGGACCAACCTCATCACCATCATGCAACACAAGAAAAGTTACAGTGGAAACACATTCTTGCATCAACCCTATCCACTTTTCTCCAAAAAAAAAGGGTCCTCATAATACCCTCCAAGCATCCCCATTCAACACTGTCAAAAAGTGGTGTGCTTCGTAAGCAAGCATAATAATGTCTGTGATCAAGCATCCTGAGACAAAAGCACTCTGATTGTCAGAAATAATTGTTTGGAGATGGGGCTTAAGCCTATTGGGCTTATTGGCTAACACTTTCTGAAGGAGTGAGACATAGGAGGAGATGATTTCTATACCCACATATTAAAGAACATGTCGTAGCTTCTCCAGAAAGATCAAGCTAAGCTTCATTCACTGAGACTCTATCAAGCTTTTCCTCAACCCATGCCAAGGTTCCTCTCACTCTCTCCGTGGTGTACCGGTATCCCTCAAACGGGAGGTCGCGCAAACCACTGTCAAGCACCACCTCTTGAAAGCCTCTTAGTTTCCATTCAAAATGTGGATGACGCCCTTTCTTATCATCTTGCGAGAGGAGATCATTGAAGTCCCCCATGACAACCCAAGCAAAATTGTGAGTATTAGCTATTTGACACAATAATTCTCAAGATTCTCCCATAGAAACTAGTGAAATTCAACTTACAGTACGTCTACACAAGGATCAATGATAGAAGTGTCAATATGATTGTTAGAGAAGCATAAAATATTCAAATTGATATCACATTTTCGCAAAAGAGTCAACCCGCCCCTCCTTCCCACATGGTTCACAACAAACAAGTAATCAAAACCAAGTCGGACTCTAAGGGGGTGTTTGTTTTTTGGCCAGAAGAGCTTCTGGCCTCTTTTGTCTGCGCCGCGCAGACGCACGCAGATGCTGAGCTCTGCAGATTGTTTTTTAGAAGACATTTCACTCAAAAAGGTCTTCCTGGCATCTTCTTGGAGAAGACATTAACCTATGTCTTCTAACATCTTCTCCATTTTTTCTTCCACTTTTCTTCACCACCACCACTGTCCACTACCATCACCACCGTCCACCATCACTGCCATCGTCGTCCTCCACCACCGCCACCGTCCACCACTACCACCGTCCACCACCGTCCACCATCATCGTCACCGTCCATCACCACCGTCGT